TTCTTTATTTTGTAATATTACTCACTAATTAATCCTAAAATGCGAAATTAACCCTACATGCACATGCCAAGTATTTTTGTATTTTTATGAATTAAGCCATAATAAAGGTGCACAAACAAATGCAAACAATTAACAAAATAAATGCCACAAAAACAAATCCATAAAATTGCAAATAATTAAAGAAGTTGTTTTTGTTTTGAATTTATAGGAGTAATCCATATAGGGCAAAAATCACGTGCTCACAATAGTTAGGCGTGATCAAGTCTTATATGACTTCTTCTTTGAAATTATTAATTATCAGCAGGATTTGGTCCAAAGTGGATTAAATTTGTCATGATCCTGTGCCATTATATCATATCATAAATGATAAGCCAATATACTTGAAATTAGTGTTTCAGTGGTTATGAAGTGCATGGGTTGTTGACTGCTTTTAATTTGGATGGTAAGGCATTAAATTTTTTGAAATATATGTTATTTTGCATATGCAAGTAATAATTACACTTCTTTCAGAAATTCTATATCCATAAATCATGGCCTTCACAATAATCTTAAAATTTGTTTAACAAGAATAATTCCTAATAATCGCTAGTATTCTTTAGGCGCGTATTAATAAATGAATAGTCGTAGTTATGTATACGTTGGCGTGACATAATTATGATTTCCAAAATAATTCGAGGTACGCGTTTGCGCGACTTTGGCCAAATAATTTTGATAATTAATAAAGCGTGATTAATTGTTTACACGTACGCATGACATGATTCTTGACGCGCCGAACAAAATGAGTACACGTACGCGCGACTCGTTTTAAGATAATTCCATAATTATGAATAATCAGGTAATTAAAAGCGGGTAAAAGGGTAATGTACATAGATTCTAAAAATGAGTAATTAAAACAAATTAATTAAGCCATGTTTGATTAAAAGCGACCGTGCTAAAACCACGGAACTCGGGAGTGCCTCACACCTACTCCCGGGTTAACATAATTTCTTACCCGGTCTTCTGATTTCGCAGACTTTAAAACAGAGTCAAATTTTCTCGATCTGGGATTTAAAATAAATCGGTGACTTGGGACATCAGAATTTATTCCAAGTGGCGACTCTGAATTAAATAAATAATCCCATTTCGATTAATGTCACTTTAATTGGAAATACTCCATATTCCCCGAAAAAAGGAGGTGTGACAATTACTGCTAAAATTAAGATAAGAATATGTTTGCTTAACTAGTTAAATAAGAAACAATTTACATAAAGATAACAGTAATACTTTTTTCTATTGTTAAATTATAAAATTGATCAAAAAGTATTGCTCAAGAGAGTTATGGATCTCATTCTAAAAGGTAATGAGTTATTGTTTCTTAATCATTAACAGTTTAAGGATTACGCTTTTACTCCGTATAAAATGGACATGAGGTATAGCTAGTGTAACATTTTATTCAAAGTTTTTTTAAAATTTTCAAATCTTCTAACATTAATTGAACATCTACTTTTGAAAGATGAGATGTTTACTTTAATTGCTTTTACCCCAAAAAATTGGTAAACAGATTTTAACATTTCATCGTTTCTATTATTCTTAAACTGAACGGCATTCCAATAAATGCTTCCACTTTTCAAATTTTGGATAGTGGAGAGTTCAAAAATTAAATCGAGATTTGTGAGAAATAGGATTTTAAGTTATATGCATTGATAGTATAATTTTTTATTTTAATTAATATATAATCTAGTATACTAGGTTACTTATCATTTGTTTTAAGTTACCAACAAATTCTATCAATGAAAGTTACATGTTAATTATCTTTTAATTACTGATTGTATAAATACTTTAAAAAAACGCATAGAACATAATTAAATTCTTAGAAAAAAATCGGTGAAAGGCCGCATATAGTTTTAAAAATACACAAAAAAGGAATAATTTTAAATTTGGCGAAATAAATAAACGACCCCTTCAAGTTGTCCTCAACGACCAGCTGAACACCTCAAGTGAGCCTATTTTCAATTAGACCATTTATTTATACACAAAAGAAATCAACTAAACACCCGACAATGTCAACCCCCATTGCGTGAAATCCACTCTCTATGACGCTAGTTGCCAACCTAAAATTAGGTTTTTTTTTTTTTACTAAAATAATGCGGACCCCACTTAATTTTCACAACCCCTTCTCCTCCAATTCTCTCCTCCACCATTCAACACTCTCCTCTACCTTAAATCACCTTTGCCTCCATTGCAAAAGAACAAAATTACCAAAGGATAAGCCTACAATTTTACAAAAAAAAAACACGTGTCGTACTATGAACATAACAAGATCTACTGTTTTTTGGTTGTTGTATGAATATTCGATTAGATCTGGCGATTTCTGTGAAATTTTTTGCTTACTTTTGCTCCAGTAATATCGTTGATGCTACTTTTTGCTTTTCAAAGGTCTTTCATCTAGGCCATTCATTTTTCTTTTGTGGAGTTTCAGGATCTTTGGTATTTCATATGAGATTTTAACATGTTTATCAAATTTGAGCTTGGGTTTGAAGGTAAGGAAGTAACTTATGGCGTCAAAGCTTGGGTTTGAAGGTAAATCCATGTGGTTTCTTGAAAAAAATTAGTTTATTTACTTTTTTAAAAGCAAAATTGCAATGAATGCTTGTATAAATTTATCGATGTAATTGGTTGTATGCGGACCCCACTTAAATTATTTCTATGCGGACCCCACTTAATTTTCACACCCCCTGGAGAAGGGTTTTTTTATTTTAAAAATTTTTTTTTTGGTTAATTTGTGTTAAGTTTTAATTACAAATTACACGTGTCGTTCATTGATTGGCTCATTTGGAAAGTGTAACTCACGCATCTGGTATGCTGTACCGGGGTGTCTATTTGATTTACTTAACAGACGCTTGAAGTGTCTACTTGATAAATAGGTTTGTTGAGGTGTTCAAATGACCGTTGTGGACAACTTAGAGGGGCCATTTATGTATTTCGCCTTTAAATTTTGATCCCTTAATTATTGATATATTCTACTTTTATTTCTTGCATTACTTGACTAAGTATATTTAAATTTGAATTGATTAAAATGTGTGTGTTTGGTCCTTTTGCATAGTAGATGCAAAAGTAGATATATATACGTTATGTTTAATTTATTTTAGAACTATATTACCATCAGATATGGAATAACAATACAAATTTAATATAACACACAAATAAATCAAAAGATTTAATAGTTAATAAAATATTAAACTTGTGAAGTCAAAAGCAGAGGGACTAAAAGTGTACATCTCAATCAATTTGAGGTTAAATATGTTTAACCTTATATTACAAGGACCAAAAGTATTAATATTAAAATAAGAAAGAGGTGAGAGAAGCTCTAGAGGCATATGTTAAGCGAAACTAGCTAACGTGCACCTTCCATGGCACGCCAGAAGAAGAAACAAATTCCGGCGCCGGTGGTGGACACCACTCTGTCCTCAACCAAAGAAGAACCACTGAGAGTTGTTACACCAGAAACGGAAGTCCCACAAAATTTAGCCCCAATTCAAATAGGACAATGGATGATGGGTATGGGAAGCGCTCCAACAATACTGCAAGCACCGAATTGAGTTCAGTCAGAGATACCAGAGAATCAACCGGTGAAGGAAGCGAACCAGCAACCTGAAGCACACAATGCGGCAAGAAAATTAACATATTCTGCAAGCTCGAGTGCGGTCAAACCAACAATGGCGAATGTAGTTAAAGGTAATCGAGCTCAACAATTAGGGCAAGAGCTTAAGTACTTTCCCCTGACATTGAAAGATGGAAATAAAATTGCTAAGCTAAGTGCAGATGCTATAGAAATGCAAAATCAGAAGTGGAGGTCAGTCCTAATAAGCTATGTAATTGGGGGTAATCCTACTTTTAAAGAGATGCTGAGATTTGTTTATGGGGTATGGAATACTGTCACAACTCCACAGATCTATCTACATAATGAAGGGTATTTCATATTCAGATTTGAAGATGAAGAGGACAAAATGAAGATCTTACAGAATGGATCTTATACCTATAATAACAGGCCTATGATTCTGAAACAATGGGTGCCAAACTTCAAACTAGATGAAGAACCCCTAAATGTAGTGCCTATATGGGTAGTTTTCCTAATTTACCTATCCAGTATTGGGCAACAGAAAATTTGGGTCGTATATCGAGTTGTTTGGGTAATCCAATTTGTACTGATAAACTAACAGCAAATGAAGAAAGGATAACTTATGCCAGAGTACTTATTGAAATGGATGTGGCCCAACCTCTCCCAGATTCAGTTACACTAGGGGAGCCTGATGGTAGATACTATGAACAATTGATTGAGCATTAGTGGAAACCAGAGTACTGTCAGGAATGTTTACAAATTGGAAGGCATAAAGTGATTTGCAAGGAACAAAACAGAGTAAGTGAAGTCAGTAATGTTCAACAAATACCAAGGAGACAGAAGAAGAAGACTAAGCAGCAATGGAAGGCCAAACCTAATACAGGTTCAGTGCTGAAATTGCGCTTGAAGTTGCTGGCAAACCAAGTGAAGAGCTCGAGAAGGATAATCAAGAAGTAACTATTACAGAGGAAAGTCAGAAAGTCCAAGAGAGCAGAAATAGAGGCAAGCAGAAAATGGTAGAAGTAAAAGGTAACAGGTCAAGAACTTTGATAGAAACTAAAGATGTGGAGCAGTTCCTTCAACAGAACAGATTCAGTACATTGAGGATACAACCTGAAAAAGCTAATGCCAATATGGCAAAAGGCGATACAAGTAAAAAAGACCCACCATGATCGTTTGCTCTTGGAATATAAGAGGGCTGAATAAGCCCTATAAGCAAAAGGAATTGAAGTCCTTTTTGCTTAAGAAAGTGGTACTGCTGGGATGTTTAGAAACTAAAGTAAAGCAAAAAAGAGCAAAAAAAATAAAAAGAAAGTTTGGAGCAGAATGGAAAATACATGCTAATTACTTAGTCAGTAATAGAGGTAGGATGTGGATTTGTTGGAAACCTAAAAAGGTTACAATGAATATTCTAGTATCTCATATGCAACTGGTGCATTGCAAGGTTGAGGACAAGGAGTCACAATTTGCTTGTGAGATAACTTTTGTATATGGGATGAATACTCAACAGGAAAGACAAGAGCTATGGAGAATATTAAAGCAAATTAACAGTTCTATCACAGAACCTTGGATGGTGATTGGAGATTTTAATGCAATTCTTTCTGTGCATGATAGAGTTAATGGGCTACCAGTAAAACAATCAGAGATGGAAGATTTCCAAAATTGCATTCAAGAAATTGGATTGGGTCAACTAAGTAAAAAAGTGTGTACATACTCATGGTGTAATAAAAGAGGGGAAAAGGAAAGAATCTACAGCTTGATTGATTGGGCATTTGGAAATGACTTATGGTTTATGAAGTATGGAAAACTGGAAGCATACTATCATATCTCGGAATGTTCAGATCACTCTCCAATTATAATCAGAACAGAAGTGGCCAAGCAAAAACTGCCAAGGCCATTCATATTAGTCAATGTGCTATTATCCCAAGAGAGTTTCAAAGAAGCAGTACATAAAGTGTGGGAACAGCAGGTGCAGGGACATACCATGTATTCAATCTGGAGGAAACTGAAGTTTATAGAAATAGAGACACCCCAGATGAACAAAGAAATGTCAATGTTGGAGAGGAAGATCAGTGTACTGGAAGAAGAACTGAAACAAGTACAGCTAGACCTAAGTGCAGACTTGTTCAATGAACAGCTTATAACAACTGAAAAAGAGATCCTAATGCAACTAGATAAATGGGCAACAATACATGAACAAGTGATCCGACAGAAGTCAAGAGCAACATGGCTAGCATATGGTGATTCAAATACGAGATTTTTTCATGCAGCATTGAAAGCAAGACAAGCGAGAAATAGAATTTCATCAATTTGCACAGAAGATGGCGTTTAATTACATGATCCTGTTCTGATCCAAAAAGAATTTACAAGTTTCTTCCAGAAGTTGTTGGGCACAAGTGAAGGAGAAATGCCATGTTTAGATCCAACAATTGCAAGAGATGGACCTTGTATTACTGCTGAGCAAAAGTTACTTCTTATTCAAGAAGTGACAGAAGCTGAGGTAGTTCAGGCTCTGAAGGACCTACCAGCTGAAAAAGCCCCTAGTATTGATGGTTTTCCAGCAGAATTTTTTAAGAAATACTGGCACTTGATACGGAAGGATGTGACAAAGGCAACAACACAATTCTTTCAAACTGGAAAGTTGCTAAAGGAGGTGAATTGTACTACTGTAACACTAGTTCCCAAGGTTAAAAATCCCTCTTTTGTGAAGGAATTCAGAACCATAGCCTGTTGTACAACTCTGTATAAACTGATTGCCAAAATTATTACTACTAGGTTAAAACTAGTAGTTGACCACCTAGTGGGACCTTCACAATCAGCTTTTATTGAGGGGAGAAATATTCTGGATAATGTGATTGTGACTAATGAATTGGTAAAGGGATACAAACAAAAGGGAGTGTCTCCTAGATGTCTAGTAAAGGTAGACATTAGGAAAGCATATGATACAGTGAACTGGGGTTTCCTCAGAATGGTATTGTTAGAATTTTGGATGCCTATGAAATTTGTCAATCTGATTATGGAATGTGTCAGTACAGTGAGCTATTCAATGTTATTCAATGGAGGACTTACACCCAGATTCCAAGCTAAGTGAGGTTTAAGACAGGGAGATCCAATATCTCCCTACTTATTTGTTTTAGTGATGGAGTATTTGAATAGATCACTTAAACAATTGAGACATATTCCAGATTTAAACTATCATCCAAGATGCAACAAGATGAAGATAGTTCATATATGTTTTACGGATGATTTAATTATGTGTTGTAGAGCTGATGTAATTTCAGTGAAGCTGATGATGAAGCAGTTTAATCATTTCTCAGAAGTATCTGGATTAAAGGCCAATTTAGAGAAAAGTTCTTTATATGTGGCAGGGGTTAACTCAAGGTTGAAGAATCAGATATTAGATGAGATGCAGTTTTCAGAGTGGGAGATACCATTCAGATATTTGGGAGTTCCCCTATCATCAAAGAAGATCACAGTTCAACAGTGTCTACCACCAGTTGAAAGAATGACTGCAAGAATAAAATACTGGTCTACTAAATACTTAGCATACAGTGGAAGGGTCCAACTTATAAAGAGTGTTCTATTTGAGATGCAAACATATTGGCCCAGGTGTTTTTAATCCCAAAGAAGGTCATCCAGCTTATGACAAGAATATGCAGAATTTTCTTATGGACAGGCAGTCATAAGTGCTCAAGGAGAGCACTGGTTACATGGGAGACATTGTGTAAGCCATATTCAGCAGGGGGTCTAAATTTTATAGAGTTTCATACTTGGAACATAGCAGCACTTAGCAAGTTGTTATGGGCTGTAGCAATGAAGAAAGACTCTCTTTGGATAAAATGGATCCATACGTTCTATATCAAAGGGAAAGACATACAACAAATGACAACTCCAGCTAGAGCTTGTTGGATAGTACGGAAAATATTGGATGCAAAGAAATGGTATTTGAACAAAGATTTAAATGTGGCGTTACAAGACTGCTGCACCACAGGTAAGTTCAGAATCAAAACAGCATACCAAGCCTTCCTACCACAGTATCAGAAGATGCAATGGAGAGGACTTGTATTGGGATCAAAGACTATTCCAAAACACAAGTTTATTTTATGGCTGACACTTATGGGAAGGTTACCTACTGTGGATCGAATACAGAGATGGGGTGTCAATGTACAAACATATTGTGTCTTGTGTAATACAGGAGCTGAGGAGACTTTGCAGCATATGTTTTTTCATTGCAGTTACTCTGCCTACATTTGGAATTCTATACTTCACTGGCTAGGAAAAAAGAGGAAGGTTAGTAATTGGGAAGAAGAAACAGAATGGATTAGCAGAAAAACAAGGAACAGCAGACCACGAGCACAGATTCTACAATTCTTATATGGTGCTACTGTTTACCATTTGTGGAGTGAAAGAAACATAAGAAGATATCAAGACAAAAAGGGAGAGGGTCGACAGATCCTTAAAGAGATTGTAATACAGTTGCATATAAGAGGTCAACAATTTAGCAAATGGAGGAGAGTCCTAGAGTCTTTGAATAGTTATCCTAAGTAGAGGTAGTGAGGTATTGGAAAAAGTTTTTTTTATATACCTTTACATAGATAGGAAAAATTTGTAGACTAGTTATAGAGTCTAAATGTAACTAGTGGATGTAAATAGATATACTTGGTTGAAATAAAATTTTAATTTTGGCCAAAAAAAAAAAAACAAGGACCAAAATTAGAATTTGTTAATATAGTGGAGACTAAAAGCGTAAATTACGCAAAAATGAATATTTATGACTCCATTAGGAGAACGGGAGGGGGGAAATGAGGGCAGAGAAGTGAACCTGCAACTCTATAGTTAGTACGTTGAGATTGTATCTACATTCTGCTAAAAGGCTAGAGAATCAGTGAGTTGCAGCTCTTCAATGGCGGAACCTTCGAGAAGGGATGTAGAAGAGAGTATGGGAAAGAAATGATAACCGCCACACTTTTATTACACTAGTTAAGAAACTATATTATATATATACAAGTGTCTAACTACTTAACCGACTAACTATGCCTGTATATCAGAATACGTTCTCTACACAATATTCTGGTCACCTCTCCGTAAAAAATGTCTAAAAAGGTCGAAGAAAGTTAGATTCAAAAAGAATACACGTCGCTCAATATTGAGAAACAAATTGGATATTTATTAAAATATATATTCAAAAGTATAATGTTCCCATATTTGAATTGGCTTCACATTAATCAATACCGCGAAAGATACATCTACATATCTGGAGATATCCAAAAGAGAGATCTAACAACAGTAAATAAATAAATTAAAAAAAAGAGAAGGGGAAGTGTAAAAAATTACATAGCATTGTTGCGTAATAAACATATACTCATATTTATATCTGCGCTACTAAGGTGAAAATAGCAAAGGAGGATAAAATGAAAAAGCTATGTCCTATAGTGCTGTATTAATTAGGATTTACTACTATTCTTGAATCCTGATTATCAACTACCCCTTCATTCCCAGCTAGCATTAAATACTTGTCCTTTCTTGTAAGATTAGTGCACTCAAATCCCAATGCAGCAGCCAGTTGCCTCTGTATGTAATTAGCCACCTCATGGCTAGATTTTCCACCAGCACAAGTCAACTCTTTGGGCACTTTCCCAAGGATTTCAACAGTGTAAGAAGGTCTTGGATTCATTAAAAAGAAAATAGGGTCCAAACACTTGAGTCCACTAGCAGTAGTCCCATAAAACATGCTCACATTTGTGTTCATGGCCACAGGTACAATCTCATCAGCTAATTCTGCAAACAAGGAGCTGAACCTTAAAAGATATGGCTCTCTGCATGTGGTTCCTTCTGGACAAACAACTAAGTCACCTGTAAGATAATAGAGAGTAAGAAAAATTACTTTAAGACGTGAAGACGACTTTCCTTAAAGAGCTAGTTGTCCGTGTACAAAACAATACAGACAAGTCCATATATTAATACTTTGGAACATTACCTTCACTGAGCAATCTCTGCATGGCCTCGGCATCTTTGCTTCTTGATCTTGTCAATCTCACAGTTTTTATAGGAGCAAGAATCTCAGACATTTTGCTTAAGCTATAGGTCACTGCTGTCAAAGGCTTTCCCAAAGATGTACTAAGGAAAACAGGGTCCAAAAGTGTTCTATGAGTGCAAACATAGAGTACTCCTTTGCCATTTTCTGATCTTGGTGGATCAGTGCCCTTTAACCTTAGCTGCACACCACTTAAACTGCCCAAGAAAATGGCTATCTTGTAAGGCACACATATACCAATGAAGAGTCTGAATATTGCTAATACTATTCCAATTGGAAGCCATATAAACATGGCTAATGTTGCAAAAGGTGTAGGTAGGAAAGCTAGCCTTCCATCATGAAATACTAGTGGCTTTGGATATTTCTCCCTCGCCAATATTGAACTGCTTTTTTCGTCCTCCTTGTTTACCACGTAAGCTTCCTGTTCAATAGAAAGATGTATTTTAGACATACAAAAAAAAGGAAAAAGCTCATGTGCACTGCACCAAAGGATATGATTTAGAAATGAAACAACTGAAATAAAATATGAGTAGTAGATGGAAAATTGATACTACTAACATACCTTGCAAAGGGAAATAAAGAGGTGATCATGAAGACTTGAATTTCCAATGCCAATATCTGGTTTCTTTTCTCCAAGAAATTCCTTAATTGCCCTATGTTTTACAAGTATCCCAGAACTTGATACTAATCCAGTAAAATAGCTCCCAACAGTTTGCAACTCAGTTCCTTTAACACTATCAACACTTAAATACTCCTTAAGAAAACCTTCCACCATAACTCTAGGCACACTTGTGAAGACCACCCTACACCCTGCTGATTTTAACACCTCATAAACATGAACATTCAAGTTTTCAAGATAAAACTTAGGCAAAACAGCTCTGCCAACACTGTCCATGTCCTTTAATCTTAGCCCACAAAATGTAATAAAGATCATAGCTCTTAGTTTAAGTTCATAATCGAGAACCAATAAAAGGGGACTTGATAGAAGTAAGAAGAAGGCTCTGAAAATGCTACCACCTTCAAAAGCAACTAACATGAAATATGGAAAGAAAGATTCAGATCTAAGAAGTGTGCCCTGTATGTCACATGCAACTGTTTCTGATTTTCTTCCATGTAAATTACACTTGTTTATACTAGGGTATAAAGAAATTGGATGGGATGATCTAAAAGATGAGTTTCTGAAAAAGAAACCAGAGTTTTTAACTTTCATTGCAGCTCTGTAACATGAGTTTGCTAGAAGTTTGTACACTAGCCATTCTGCTAGTCTTAGTAGTATCATTGGAAAAACCATATTTTTAACTGGTAATGTCATTGAAGATGAATATTAATATTGGAGAAAAAAAAGAGGGGGGAAAGAGAGGAAATTAAGTTGGAAGGGATGAAGAAAATAGGAACAAGTGTAGAAGGAATTTATAGGACAAAATTAAGGGCACGAAATAGAACGTTGACTCTTTGAATTTGGTTAGCCACGCCGCTAGCATTAATTGCCGCCCAAAACCTTTGTTTCTTTCTTCTTTCGTTTTTTTTACTTTTATTTTTATATTCCTGACATTTTTTTCTTAAGAAAACTCAAAATAATTGCCTTTCTACCTAGGTGATCTAAGTTTTTCTTTCTTTGGTTAGCAACATTTGGTAGGTTAGCGTGTTGGTGACCGCCTACCTAGTTTCTGTTTTTCTTTGAAATTTTTGTTTAACGCTTTTTTAGCTTCTTTTTGAAAAATCATCACTTCTTAGTTCTCACTCTTATGTCACGTAAAATTTTACTTTACATTAATTCGATATTTATACTAATTTATAATAATATCATGATTACGGATAAAATTAAGATGCAAATATGTGTATTCACTATAGTAAGTTTTTTCCTTCATCTCCACTTATTATATTTTTATCATATGTTGTACGGACTCTCCAAAATATTATCGTATTCGTGTCTGGTCCTTCAATACGTATTATCTTTGAAGGACCCGAGATGCACCCGTTATATTTTCTGAAAGTCCGAGCAGCATAGTTTTTACTTCTTTTTTGTTTTCTTCCTCTTTGCAAACTTAGTAAATATGCATGTATAGGTTGTGTATTGAAGTGTGTGCACATATTTTGAGATACACCTCTTTTGGGGCCTACTGTTACCAATACTCCATGTTGCAGATAAGTATAAATGGAAGACAATAAATATGTTCGGAGTTGAATCCATCAAAAGAAGCAAATAAGAAAATTTCCTGCTCCAGTAAGATGATCATCAATTGTTGACCAATCAAAAATACTAATTTTTTAACATTTTGAGCTCTTTAATTACTTAAAGAAGACACGTCTAGTAATACTCGGTAACACGCTTGCAGTTAACTACAACTATGAACTACCCCATAGTTGACTTTATTACTGCAGTTTTTTAAGGGAAAACAAAAATGTGTAAAAACCAGTTTTGTCATTTTTCTTTTCGGTTGGATTGCATTTAATATTGGAAGTCTTTTAATTGTGAATATTCAATGATCTGCCAGTGTATCATGATAAGTAACATTTATCTAGTTATCACCATGCATGTGACAGTTCAGTAAAGAATAATTCAAGAATATATATTGATCTATTGTAACTATATATTTCCATCTAAATACTTAACATTCTATTGTATCATGACGTATTCTTGAAGAGTCTAGATTTTAGTGGCAAAGTTCCAAGTTGTTGGTCAATTTCATATTTAATTTGGCCACCTTTAAAGAGAACAATGTGTCTGTTGAGATCTTAACTGCATTAATTAAAATATTTTAGCCTTAGATTTGCAAGTTTCCGAGACGATTGTATTGTCCAACTTGGGTTTTTTTGTCAGACTGAATTTGGACTTTATATTACGCAGTAATATGAATCTTGAATTAGATTATGTGAACACCACCTCCCCCCTCCCCTCACCCCCCCCCCCCGTTTTTTTTTAGAGTTTAACTAAAGAATTAGATTCTCAGTCAAAGCCTACTTTTAGAAATACTCTGGCTACTGATAATCAAGAAATTCTATATTCTCTCAGTGATAAGAAAGGAAATTAGAATATGATATAACAAGGTAATTGATAGAAGCCAAAAGAAAGTAATTTTATTCCAATAATAATCAGAACGTGTCTTTACAAGTGAAATTCCCTTCCCTTATATAGGAATATATAAGTACAAAGTTTCTTCCCTTTTATGACTGAATCATTATTCACATTAATGATATTAATGAGACGTTATAATTGACAATTGTAACAGCTCATGAAGATTCTGTAACGGCTATGATCATTCATGCACATTAATTGACGATTCATGAATCTTCCTTCTTTACTGTCTTGATTCATTCTGCCAGTGTCTCTTCAAATAGCAATTCAGACTCGAGCGACCATACCCCTTTTATCTCGTGGGTGATATGCTCGTACCTATTGCGACTCGTGCCTCTTTTAATGCATCTCTCCAGCTGTCGCTTTCTTAGTGATCGACGTGTCACGCCACATCAGCCACATATATAAATCCACGTGTAAAATTTATTTTTACCAGGGCACGGGGGCAAAGGAAACAGATAACTTGAGTAATTATTCTTGATTGATATAGTAGTTAGGATCATGCAATTCCTGTTAAAGGGTTGGTGAAATTTCAATCATTTGGTTTGAATGTTTGATTTCTTTGCATAAGATTTGTATGTACTGTTACAAAGTTTGAATAGTCTATCCACACCTAACGTGTTCTCTATTTATTTCAAATTTCACCATTTGCTTTCCAGAACATGCATAACTCCTTACTTTATCCATGATAACTGGATTGTTTCTGGCAACCATTAAGCTGTGGTTCAATATATAGTTATAAAACAATAGAACAAACTAGTAGGTTTTATGCAATCCGGTGACATGCTCAAATGATGTGACGCATTCTTTAGTGCGTATTCTACCTAGCATTTTTTGTGAGAATTAACATACAAGAAACTTGTAGGAAGTGTGGCTATTACAACAAAAATGTTATGACAAGGTTTGAATAGTATTCATACTTTCGTCATGATATTTCGTCGGCAACAGTAATTTTATGTGAATGTATTATTTTAATGTTTTATCTTTGATAAAATGGAACCGGTTATCACTTCTTGTGAATGAATTAGTTAATGTTTTATCTTACTAAGATTTAACTGAATTTCTCTAAAGTAGAGGTTGATAGATTTTGGATCCGGATTTAGACTCCTCTAACATTAGAAAAGGAAAAGAAAAAAAAAGTACTCCTTCGTGCAATGACACTATCAGTTTAATTTCTAAACTTATATATCTTATCTTCTAAAACATTTGAGTGAAGGTGGCCATGTGATGAGTGAATAAAGATAAAGTATGAGAGAAAAGAATTTTTGGTGAGACTGTAACATGCACCTAAATAATGTGCGGATTTGAAACTTATAAGTTCGTGCAGTAACTTCAAAACTAATGTACAATAATAATTGAGTTCATAGTCAAATATTTATACTTATAAATATTCAATAGATCTCTTTATACACGGGTGGAGGCAGGTGACACTGCTTTGTTGGAAAAATTTACTAGATATATACATCTATGAATAATATAAACACAAGTATTTAAATCTTTGGCTGGTTCAGCGCTTCAAAGTTATTATTGCAAAGGTTATGGGATCGAGTCATGCAGGATACTTTTTTATAAATTTGGTCTTTCTTGTTGAAAATATTTAGCTAACAAGGATTGAACCTACTGACAACAAGTAATTTAAAACAATTATAGTGATATAACAATTTGTTAACTTCTTTAAATATCGACACCGTTTACGAAAAATTCTGCATGCGCCCCTACTTTACATATAGAGGATTGAGTCAGAAATTACTGGTCCCGTGAACCCATAAGTTATGCTCTAAATCTTGGATGAAATTGTAATTATTAGGTTACAAAATTCAATCACGGTTAAGTTCTTTGTTTGGAAGTAGTAATTAATACTATTCCCTTGTAATATATTGATCGACCTCGTGAAAAATTGAAGAGAGCACTTTCTTTAGTTAATCAACTCCGTTATTAAGTGGGCATTTTATTTATCAAAAGATATTACAACGAAAAGGGAACAAAAATTAAATTGTCTTGGCCTACAAATACACATTCAACATCAAAAAAGTTAGCCTTACAAGATCTACTTCTAAAAATTGATAGCAACCACTTATATATCCACTTAACACCATTGGGTACCTGTGGAAATGTGTATTAGTATCTAGCTTCTTCCAATGTAGTCGGTCAAACAACAAATTAAAGTCGACCACCAAATTTGTTTGAGCAAATAATAGCTAAACCAATTAATGATGAATTAAAGGGGTGAATCTTAGCTGAATTTAATAACTTCTAGGCAGGATAAAATACTCCCTCCGGTCCAAAATAAGTGATTTTTTGGCCTTTTTCTTGTGGTCCAAAATAAGTGATTTTTCCAGATTTCAAGAATGAATTAATTATTTTTTTCCTACATTGTCCTTGAAGTAAATGGTATTGGAATATGTGTTAGGAGTGTTTATGTGAGATAGTAAAGGTTAATATGGCCAATTCCATTGCTAATTAATGCTAAAAGGTGGATTTCTTAATTTGTGTGAAAACATCCAAAAAATAACTTATTTTGGACCGGAGGAAGTAAAAGATTTAAGAAACGAGCAGTGTTCAGATGCATCAAATAACGGGTTCAATACACTATGATTGACAATAAATAAGGTGGTATAAATATGCAATAAATGTGAGCAATGACAATAAATGTAATGAAAAGGGATCTACCACCCAACTATCAGGTGATTGGAATGCCCCTTTTCTCTGTCTGCGACGTGGAAAAGTATGAAGTTAGGATAGATATGGAATCTCTAGATTTATGGATCCAGATGGAACAATGTGTGATTATTAGTATTACCAACAAAATAAGACAACTTTTGGATATTCTCCTTTGTCAACTCTTACAATATGTCTTTTGTCCAGAAAAAATGAAGATCCCCTTCTGTTCCCTATCTCTTCCTATTTACAGGGGATATTCTTTAAAAACCCTAAAAAGTATAGCCTAAAGAATATCCAAAGGAATATTCTTTATGTCCACTTCTGAACCTATGCTATCGTTACTTTCTGATCTCGCTTGCCCACTTTTGGCATCAGCCTTTGTGAGAACAACTTTCAATTGTTATATCATGGTCGACCCCGTCCTTTGTAGTGCGTATCCGTTACCATGGTCACCAAATTTGTACCCATACAGTTAGACCCTCCACTTGTTGATGTCGTAACCCTGCACGTCCTCGATAAGTGGACATCATTTGCTTTCATCTCGGGAGAATTTGGCTATTGAATCAAGCTGGGTCGACCAAGATCGAGAGAACGACGCAGCCGGCGGAGTCATGATTGATGTGTTACCATGGGATGA